CCCCCGGCAGCTGCTGCAGAATTAACGCCGCGCGTAATGAACACAACGGAGAGCGTCCCGAAATAAATACCCCCCTTAATAATTCACAAGGACGGGGACGGCGCGCTCCTAACAAGCCGCTGTTTTATGAAGCAAGGTTAACATTTTTACTCGATTCGCTGGGATATTGGCGTCTCTCTGGGGCCCATTTTCAGGACCGGCTGCGAGATATAAAAAAAAACAAAAAAACAACAACAACAAAACGAGGAGAGCGCAAAGTTCCCGACTCAGCACTTTGCGCTATTATTTGAGAGAATAAGGTTAACCCCTTGCGAGGCCCGGCCTTGACAAGTCTCCTCGCCGGGCGGAATCTGTCGCAGTCAGCAGTCTCATCGCACACAATTACAAGGCGCTATCCATCATCCTGACCGGAATGCTTTTCTGACACTCTGAAAAGAGACGCGCTAAGCAGTTTCGCTAATAGAATAAATATTCCAAATTTCTCTTTTATATTTTCATTTAAATTGGAATATTTTAAAAAGTAATTGCGTGTGCCGTGGCAGCGGCGAAGGGGGGTGAGGGGGGGGGGATGCTCAGCGCTGTCGTCCTTCTTTGTCTTTTGCAGCGGTCGTGTCGTCACTTATCCGGTGAACTCGCCCTGACCCCAACGTTGACCCCCCCCGCCGTACCCCTTTGTAAACCTGGCGGCGCTATATCCACCGTGTACGCCCGTAACGCCATTTGCATCCCACCATTGGCAGTAGCCGCTTGGCAAGGCATGCTGGGAAATTCACCTCTCCAGCTGGAGCGTGACCTCAATGTATTCTACCTTATTTGTGATACCAAAAAAAAAAACATTTTAGGCAACTGCAAGATGTCCGGCAAAAACCCTTTCCTAGTTTTTAGATGGGGTGCGGGAAAGGCACTTTCTTTGAGGTGTTTATTTCCCTCCGGGGATCCATTAGAGAGACTTTCCCTCACTTCCTGTCTTGAGGACAATACGTCTCTGCAGGTTCTCACCTGTACCTGTAAGGCAACTGGACCTATTTTTTTATCTTCCTTGTACCCTTGTAGTGAGTCTACCCCCCTTTGCCTCTGGGGGGTTATGCCTGTCATGCCCCCGAGGC